CTTTATTCATGGCAGTGTTTTTGGGCAGAATTACGAGAGAGCCCACTCCCTTGGTTGAAAAGCAACCCCACACATGGATGGTCTCAGGATGCTTCACTGTTGGCACAACACAGGACTCATGATAACGTTCACCTTTTCTTCTCCAAACAATTGATTTTCCAGATGTCCCAAACAGTCGGAAGGGAGCTTCATCAGAGGAAATAACTTTGCACCAGTCTTCTGCTGTCCAATCCCTGTACTTCCGGGAGAAATTCAGTCTGTCCTTGGCGTTTTTCTTGGAGCAAAGTGGCTTATTTGCTGGCCTTCTTGACACCAGGCCGTTGTCCAAATGTCATGGCCTCACTGTGCGTGCAGATGCTCTCACACCAGCCTTCTGCCATTCCTGAGCAAGCTCTGCACTGCTGGTGACACGATTCCGTAGCTGACTCCTCAGGAGGAGACGGTCCTGGTGCTTACTGGACACTCTGGGACGTCCTGAAGACTTTTTCACTGCAGTCAAACCTCTCTCCTTGAAGTTCTTGATGCTCCGGTAAATGGTTATTTCAGGTGCAATATTCTTTGTAGAAATTTCCTTGCATGTGAGGCCATTTTGATGCAAAGCGATGATGGCTGCACGTGTTTCTTTGGAGGTAACCATTGCTAACAAGAACACAATGATTGGAAGCGCTTCTTCCCTCCTTTTATAGCAATCAGTCTGCTCTTACAATCTAATTAGCATGATAGTGATTTTACCTGACTAGTACTCATTCACACTTTCACATGTGCTGCTGATATGATTAGTCAATTAATGTTAGCTGGTCTTTTTGTGTCAGGATCAAAAAACAGTGAAATTTTTTTTTTTTTTGTGAAAAGTTTAGCAATTATTTAAAATGCATCTGATCACTCTACACAATAATCTAGAAACAATGTGAATGAACACCACAGCAGCTTAAGCAGCAAACTTTGCAAAACACAAAATGTATGTCCCTGCCAAAACTTTTGGCCATGACTGTATACTGAAGTCATGGTACAGTATGTGTGAACTACATTTTTAGTGTTTTTTTAATTTTTTATATATAAATGAATATATAAAAATTACATCACAACTTGTGCACTCCAAGTCTTTTGGAGTGTGACAGCACTAGTCCTCATTCATTTCCATGTTATGGAAAAGCCAGGATATTTTTCTTTCTTCTTTCTTCATTCTTCTTGCAGGTGTTATTTTTGTTTAGTCTATTCAGGATGTGTTTTCGTCTCTCTGCCACTCATAGCCTTGTAAACAGAGTAAACTGAACAGCAGCCAGATGCATAGCTGTGGCTTTGAGCTGTGATTGGTTGAGCCGACTGCCTGGCCACATGCAGGGCAGGTTCATTACCCTGCAGAGCTCTAAGTAGAGACAGAGAGGTAGAGCAGGGTTTGTAACTGTGCAATTTATAGACGGCGGCTCCCACACCCCACTCAGACCGACACTGCAGCACAAAGACTATTTTTAGCTCCTTTTCATGAGAAGGAATGATGCAGGGAAGTTGATTCAGATGCTCTGCAACTAAAACCCATGTTGCTTAGATTTGCTTCTTTGATTAGTGTCGTCTTATGTAACCTGAAATCTTTCATTTTGCTACCCTACATTTCAACTCTGAATATCTAATGAATGCATCTGGCAAATTTAGTGAATAACTGCAGGTAAATTATGTAGTTTTTAGGGTTAAAATATGTAAATATACAATAAATATATATATATAGGGATATGGGTCGATGGATGGATATTGGGCTATATTGTTGGATGGATGGAAGGATGGATAATGGGTTATATAATTGGAAGGATGGATGGATAGTGTATTAGATCATTGGATGGATGGATATATGTGTAGTGGGCTAGATTGTTGGATGTATGGATGGTGGGTTTTATTGTTTGGTGGATGGATGGATGGACAGTTGGATAGATAGACAAATAAATGGATGGATGGATAGTGGGTTAGGTCGTTAGATTATTGGATGGATGAATGGTGGGTTAGATCGTTAGATGGATGGTGGGTTAGATTGTTGGATAAATGTATGGATAGTGATGTAGATCATTTGATGGATGGATGGATAAAAATTACAGTTGGGTAAGTCAATCAGATTTTGATTTTGATTTAATCAGCGGAAGTTTTTTTAGTAAAGGACTGATTCAAACTGATTCAGAAGTTCATGAGTCTTTTTGAATGATTCATTACAAGAATAGGCTCATAGGAGTCATAGACATAAGAGTTACGGACTTCAACTTAATAATAATAATAATTTATGCATTTAGCAGATGCTTTTATCCAAAGTGACTTACAGGGCATTCAGGCTATACATTTTTTACCAGTATGCGTCTTCCCTGGGAATTGAACCCACGACCTTTTGCTAACGCAATGCTCTATTTTTCATATAATGATCCATTTTTATGTTGCATAAGCTTTCTGGAAGCATTTTCATCCAAGTTGGTGCAGACACATACATTTGCTTACATACACCCACATTGCTTTGATGATTATTTATTATTAGTAAGGAAAAGGACTACATAACACTGCTGCATTAATGTTACTCTGAGTGTGTGTGTGTTTCTGTGATTATCCATCAGTATTTCAGTGCGTTATGCTGCTACAAACTATATTAACATTCCTATTTTTTCCTCCAGGTGGACAGACTGGCCGGCACAATGAAGGAGGAGAACTTGTTCCGCAGACGGTTCTCTCTCTGTCCCACAGCCACCTCGCCTCCCAAGATCGACCCACATGTGCTGACTCGCAACCTGTCCTATGGAGGAGACAATGAACTGTACCCGCTCAGCCCAGGTATCCATTAAATTCCTAAATGTGTGAAAACACTACATCCTTCAAGCACAAGAGACACATGCAAGAGCTTACTGCTTCTGAATCACTACGGTCATTCGCACTTGCTTGGCAATCACCCAGAATGCATTAGCAACCAACTAAAAACCCTAGGAAATGCATAACTTGCTACAAACCTCTCAGAACACCTTAGCAACCACATAGCAATGCCCTGGAAACCACCTAAAACACCTGATAGAAATGCATTAACAAACATTAAAAACACCCAAGCCATGTAGCAATGTCCTAGCAGCCACACAGAACACCCTAGCAACTGCAATTAACACTTTAGGAATTTCATAACACCAGAAACACCTAAGCAACCACACAGCAACACCCTCGCAACCACCTAGAACACTCGAGGAACTGCATAGAAAAATGATAAAAGTGTCTCAGAACACCTTAGCAACCACATAGCAATGCCCTGGAAACCATCTAAAACACCTGATAGAAATGCATTAACAAACATTAAAAACACCTAAGCCATGTAGCAATGTCCTAGCAGCCACACAGAACACCCTAGCAACTGCAATTAACACTTTAGGAATTTCATAACACCAGAAACACCTAAGCAACCACACAGCAACACCCTCGCAACCACCTAGAACACTTGAGGAACTGCATAGAAAAATGATAAAAGTGTCTCAGAACACCTTAGCAACCACATAGCAACACCCTGGCAACCACCTAAAACTCTTAAGGAACTGCATAGAAACATGTTAAACGTGTCTCAGAACACCTTAGCAACCGCATAGCAATGCCCTGGCAACCACTTAGAAGACTCAAGAAACTGCATAGAAATGTATTCTAAATCTCTCAGAACACCTTAACAACCACATAGCAACATCCTGCCAACCATGTAGAACACTCGAGGAACTGCATAGAAACATGCTATAAACCTCGCAGAATAACTTAGCAACCACATAGCAGTGCCCTGGCAACCACCTAGAAGACACGAACATTGCATATCGATGACTAAGAACATCTTAGTTGCATAGCAACACCCTAGTAACCACCTAGAACACTCTAGCAACCACACAGCATTGTGCTACAAACAAATCTGATAGAAATAAATTATGCACAATAAAGGACATTTATTAAGAAATAAAAATGTGAAAAAAAATTTATTTCAACTTCAGAGCTGATTTTTTTTTTTATGCTGTTGTTGTTGTTTTGTTTGTTTTTTAATAATTAGCAAAAATGTTTTTGACTGTAGTGATTTATGTTAATGCTGTGTTTGTGTGTTGGTGTGGGTGTGTGCGTGCGTGTGTGTGTGTGTTCTGCAGGTAATGAATCGGAGAGGAACGGTTTGCCCTTACTGAGGGACGAGGTCAGTCCGGTCCGCTCGCCCAGCAGCGCGGTGCGTTCAGCTTCCTGTTGACTACGAGCATGAAATATGATGGCATCATAATGCAGATGGGAAAGAAAAAAGCCTGTACTTGTGGTTGAAGAGCTTTTCCATAGCACATCCGTTACTTCAGCCCACTTACTAGTTAAACTTTCACTAGTGTTTTTTGTTTCTGAATGCTTCTAAATGAGAGATTAAAGGATTCACTAGACCTTTGCGAAAGTATACGTATATTTATATGTATATTACATTTACGTATTGTTTTATTTGATAAACTACTGACAATTTTTTTCCATAGATCCAAATACAAATTAGGCCTATATTCATATAATGCATTTATTTGCGGAAACTTGGCTTCAAATGTTGAAACTGAAATGTTTTCATTTGAAAAATTGTTTTCAGACCTTGGATATTACAATGAAAACAAGTTCATATTCATCTTTAAACAGCACAATACTAATGTTTTAGTTCTGTTTTGAGGTTTGTTTTGATGGCTTGTGAAAAGCTTCCTCTTAACAACTAATACTGATACTGTGATATAAAAAATCAATAACAAAACACCCAAAGAGTCAACAGATAAATTGTTCAATAGAGAGATTTCAAAACTAAGCAAAACCTGGAACTTCAAATGGATTTTAATTATGAACACAAGAGTGCAGTTCATCTACGTTTTAACTGGGAGCTCCACTGTTGCTGTTTTGTAGCTCTTTGATGTTGTATATGGAGCACTCTAGTGTTCAACAAGGTTTATAGACATTTTACATGTCTTGCTGCCCACTTGCACCCCCTAGCTGATGTCTGAGCAATGCATTAAACCTTGACCTTTCATATCGTAGGTTCAGAAGAAGAACTATCGACAGGAAAAGAAGAGGGTTGCCAAAGAGCTGTTCAGTGCACTTAAGGATCCAAGTGTGGTTATTATGTCCAACTGGCTAAAGGTCAGTAAACCTCATTGGTTTTCATTTTAATCATTTGAATAATTTCTCAGTACCTTTAAAATGTGATTCTTGGATGCATCAGATTCGGGGGTCGTTGAAGAGTTGGACGAAATTGTGGTGCATCCTGAAGCCCGGCATTCTCCTGATATACAAGACGCCCGGTTCAGATCACTGGGTGGGAACGATTCTTCTCAATGCCTGCAAACTCATCGAAAGGCCATCAAAGAAGGACGGATTCTGCTTCAAACTCTACCATCCACTGGACAAGTCCATATGGGCCATGAAGGTTAGACCACAGCATCTCTGAAATGAGATGTTTGCTTCACCTCATTGTTGGGACTGATGGGTATGTGTTTTTTCAGGGCCCTAAAGGAGAATCTGTGGGCTCCATCACACAACCCTTACCTAGTAATTACCTGATCTTCAGAGCAGCGTCCGAATCTGATGGTGAGCATTGGTGTTTGTCTTCTGTGAAACTGTCTTCTCAATATGGAGTCCATTTGAGGATCACAACCTGTGGTTTATTCCAGGGCGCTGTTGGATGGACGCTCTGGAACTGGCTCTCAGCTGCTCCAGCCTGTCTAAGATGACGGCTAAGAGTGGCAGGGATGGAGATCTGAGCAGCTCCTCTGAGTCCTCACACATACTGCAGCTGCTGCAGAGCTCGGCTCTCACCGACCAGGACCTGCTGCAGTGAGTTTGATCTCTCCTACATCAGGGGTCCTCAACTTTGGACCCCGTGATCCACTTTCCTGCAGCGTTCAGCTCCAACCCATATCAAACACACCTGAACAAGCTAATCAAGGTCTTCAGGATTACTACAAAATTGCATGTAGGTGTGTTTAATCCAGGTTGGAACTCATTTCTGTAGGAAAATGGATCTCGAGGTCCAGAGTTGAGGACCCCTGCTCTACATCAACACACAGCTGTCGGTGTGTCACAGAATATTTTTTGGCACAAAACTGTTCACATCAGATTCATTGCAACTAAATTACAAAAAAAAAGAAGATATGAATTATTTTGAGTTTTGGAGAATAGTTTTTGGTACCAAAATATTTGCGTAAACTACGATATGACTAAAGCTTGAAATATTCTCAAACAATTATTGGCCAAATTTATATACTCTAAAAAAATAAGCATTTAAAAAAAAATTATCCTCCAAATAAAATGACCAATTATTGCTGAAAGATATGAAATATTCACACTTTTGGCACTAAATCTCTCTCTCTCTCTCTCTCTCGCTCTCTCTTGTGCTCTCTCTCTCTATCTCGCTCTTTCTCTCTCTCTCTCTCAAAAAACTGCAAAACTCTGCATTTGAACAGTCAATAGCAAATACTTAAAATAATAACAAAACAGTAGCTGATCCAGAAGCGCCAGATTGTCATAGCAAAGTCAGAATGACCTCCTCTCCTAGGTTCACGAAACGGTCGTCCATAAACTGCATTGCTGTTCTGTTGTAAGTAATCTTAAAGATTCCTAAATGCATCTACTTTCGGAAGGCCAAATAAAGTGCTTTTGCGTTCGTCTAGAAACACACAGCGTCTCCCTGACATGGCTGCTTCAACACTAACTGCGGTTACTGAAACCACGCCTTCTTTCTTTGCGTGCACATTTGGGCGGCATTATGCAAATATTTCCACATAGTGAGGTAGATATGTGGGGGCGTGTTAGAACGAGCCATTATAGGGGGGCGTGGCAGAGTGTTAACTTTGATAAAGAATATCGCTTTGGATTTGAGACTTTAGTCTTTGCAACTTCAGGGATCTTATCTATGAACCATCAGCTTGTAACACTCCAAAGAGAAAGGAAAACTTGAAATCGCATCATATGACCCCTTCAAAGAAAATAATTATTTTTAATAGAAATTAAAGAATAAATAATAAAAACATGTTTAAAATGTGTGTACAATGAATATAATTGAATAAATGCAGCCGAATCAAATCTCACATGGTCATTTGTTTGTGTGTTTTTGTTAAAGGTTGAATGAATCCATGTTGGAAAACCATATGGAGAACGACGCCAACTCGGACAGATCGGAGAGGGAGGCACATGAAGACTCGGACAATGCGACTAATGAGAACGGAGGCAGATTGACGGAGGAGAGCGATATGGACCAATCAGATGACGTGTGCCTGCAGGCCACAGCGTTTGTTGAAGAAGCCCATGAAGAGATAGGAGAGGTGATAAGTTAATATGCCTTCATCACAGTCTGTGTTTGGTCTGAATGAACTGCTTTGTCCAACAAGAGCTAGTTAATTATATTTCGGTTATGCAGTGACATATTATACACGGTCATGTCGCTTAAATGTTTTAAACCTAAAGAAATGAATAGGACTTTTGAGTCGGCATGAAACAATACAACAATTCATTGATGGATTTTTTTTTTTCTGCAAAAATTGAGTGGATCATGAAAAATGGATGCAAATTATTGTCTGATTTGAAACATATTTGAGAAAAAAATTATTTGCATAAACTACAATATGACTAAATTTGAAACGTGAAATATTGGCCAAATTTTGTTGTTCTGTAAAACATAGCAATTGAACATTTAAAACAATAATTTTGGCACTGAAACCATTCATATCAGGTATGATGCACCTAAATTACTTGAACGCATGAATTACGTGCAAACAATTTCTGTCCCAAAAACTATTTGCATAAACTACTCTAGGACTAAACTGACACAAAAGTAATAAAATATTAACAAAGATTTTGGCACCAAACTGTTCACATCATATACAGTGCGACTAAATAGCATGAAAGTATAAATTATACCGTTTTTGGAACAAAACCATTCTCGTAAATATTTGTTTTATGTGATTCTATATCCTCACCAGTAGGGGTCAGTATAACATCAAAGAATAATGTGTTATTGGCCAGTGAAACAGACAAAAAAATGAATTGGTGCACCTTTAAATTAGTCAATAACACAAGCAACTTTAATTTAAAAGAATATGAATGACAATAGGTCCCTTTTACATTCATGTTTATGCATTTAGCAGATGATTTTATCCAAAATGACTTGAATTGCATTCAAGGTATATATACTGTCAGTGGTGTGCCGTGGTGTTCTGAAATGAGGAGGCAAAGTCCTTTTTTTTTCTTTCTTTTTTTATCAAATTTAAATTCCTGTCCAAGTCACGTGTTCTTGGTTAAATAAACATTACTTACACTACCAAAAAAATATATATATATACTGTATATATATATATATATTATATTTTATATTTTTACATTAACAATGTAATCAATATTCTGTTTATTAAAGCCAAGTATGAATCTCATCAAGTAGTTTTTAAGCATTTTACATTTATTCCAAAATAATAACTCAAGGCAGTAACAATTTAAATAATATATTTTATTTGTGAACGTATGTTCAGCTATTCTTTTTAATAGTTAACTTTGAACTATTTTTAATTATCCGGTTCATCAGTCATCAAAGCTCGGTAAATATTGGTCACAGACACAGAGATTTACTTAAAATTTGACCAAGTTGATTACTCACTAAAAACTCCCACAGATCATGTTTTCAGGCCATTTCAATTCTTATTTTGACGTAACAAAGTGGTTATATCTAAGTATGTGAGTTGTTTACTTTACGAAAGTTCCCATTAATGCCATTTATATTGTTCATTCAGACTGATTCGCGAACACTGAACACGCATGAACACAAGAGGCGGGATTTATGGCATGAACCAATCACAGCCGAACATAACCAGTCAGATCCAATAATATCGCGATGGAGGCATTGCCTCCTCTCACGTGATTTTCCCCCATTCATCTCAATTACCCCCCACCAAACTCACCGCATGCTTTAGGGGGTCTGTTAAAACTCAATGGGCTCAGGAGAGGCGAGAGAGACGCGGACTCCTGCTGTGGCTTTACCTGCTGGTGTCACTGTTGCACAGTGTTCTTTAGAAAAACAAGTGATTTATACACTTTTTAATGTTATATTTTGTAATATTGCCATTGTTTTATTTTTGTGCTATGAATTTTTTTTTCTTTTCTCATCCAATATTTTGTGGAGACACTGCCTCCCTTGCCTACTCGGAGGAAACGCCCCTGTATACTGTATATTTTCTGTTGTCTTCATAGGTTGGCGAGGCGTCCCAGGTTGAGACGGTTTCAGAGGAGAATAAGGGTTTGATTTGGACTCTCCTGAAGCAGCTGAGGCCAGGGATGGACCTGTCTAAAGTGGTTTTGCCAACATTTATCCTGGAGCCACGTTCATTTCTGGACAAGCTGTCGGATTACTACTATCATGCTGACCTGCTGTCCCAGTGAGCACCTCATTATCATCTCTACTGCAAGCAGACGCACTTTACTGAGACTAGCGGTTTTAGCTTTCATTGGGTTTGTTGGAGAAGAGATAATGGTATCTGTTTGTGTTTCAGGGCTGTGATGGAGGAGAGCCCATACTGCAGGATGAAGCAGGTCTTGCGCTGGTATCTGTCAGGCTTCTACAAGAAACCAAAGGCAGGTTTTGGGTGAAATGCTAATTTTAGATTGAGAATAATGAGCCAGTTCACAGTTTCCATACATGGTTTTTATGCATATTTTGGGATATCAAATAAAAACACCACCATTTAAAAAAAAAAAACATTTTAAAATGCAATTTGTAATTTATTAATATATTATTTTCCAGTCTTCAGTGTCACGTGATCCTTCAGAAATCAGTCTAATATGCTGATTTGCTGCTCAACAAATATTTCTTATTATTATCAATGTTGAAAACAGTTGTGCTGCTTCATATGTTTGTGGAAAACATGAGGAATTGTTTTTCATATTTCTATGATAAATACTACGTTCAAAAGAATAGCACAGAATAAACAATATTTATCCTAAAATAAAGTTATTCTAAAATAAAAAATATTTTATTATAAAACAAAAAATATTCTGTTCTAAAATAAAACGATATAATTATTATTAAACAAAACAATATATTTAATCTAAAAATAAAATGTATATTTACTATAAAATAAAAATTTATATTATTATAAATTAAAATAAACATGAATTCTCAGCATCATTACTCCAGTCTTCAGTCTCACAGAAATCATTCTATTATGATGATTTTCTTCTCATGAAATATGTATTATCAATGCTGTAAACAGTTTTTAGCTTCATATTTTTTTGCAGTGATGCATTTTTTCAGGATTCTTTTATGAATAGAAAGTTCAAAAGAACAGCATTGATTTGTTTTTCTGATATTATTGTTATTATTATATTTGTTTTGTAACATTATAAATGTCTTTACTTTAATGCATCCTTGCTGAATAGATGTAATAATTTCTTTAAAAAAAAAACTGACTGAAGGGTGTGCGTATGATTTATATTTACACTAATTGTGCGTTTCTTGTCTTTCAGGGTCTGAAGAAACCGTACAACCCTATTTTAGGAGAGATGTTTCGATGCTGCTGGCTGCATCCACAAACAGACAGCTGTACATTTTACATCGCAGAGCAGGTGAGACTCTAGAATCAAGTGGTAACAATTCAAATAGCATTAAATAAAATAAAGATGATCAAACCAAGTGGCATTTTAAAACAATGGACTGATATTCAGACAAGTTTTTGGACACGTTCCGGTTTTCTAAACGTCTGTAGTCTGTAGTGGTTACTCTGTCTTCCTCTGCATACATCGTAAATATGACAATCTCTGCTTGTAATATTAATGGAAACGAGAAGCTCGTGTGATAAGCAGTTGACTTTTGTACTTTCAGGTTTCTCATCACCCTCCCGTTTCAGCTTTCTACATCAGCAATAGGAAGGACGGATTCTGCATTAGTGGAAGCATTCTGGCCAAATCCAAGTTTTATGGTATATATGCTGCAATTCGATTACAGACATGCAGTGATTTGCGTACAAAAGCTTTGTGCTCTTGTTATGTGATGCTGGTTTTAAGTTCAGTGTGATTTCTTAAAGGGAACTCGCTGTCTGCCATACTCGACGGAAAGGCCAGGCTCTTGTTTCTGACCCGAGATGAAGAGTATATCATCACAATGCCATACGCTCACTGTAAAGGTGATGGACTCTTAAGTTTCATAATTTAAATAATGTGATGATTTTTAAATTAGGCCTTAAAGATATAGTACACCCATAAATAATAAGTGTTCTTTATCATCAAGGGGGAAAAAAAATGACATTATTTTATCATTATTTACTCGCCCTCATTTAATTCCAAAAACATATGCTAATATTTTTATTATTATTTGCTATTTTTATTATTATTTTCAATGACATTAAGCAAATAATCAACGTATTAAATAATAAAGCTGTCAACATTATTGTTTTTCTAAAACAAAATAAAATATATATTATGGTAAACAAAAAAAACTAAAACATTTTTGTCTGGAATAATTTTTTTTTTAATAAAACATAAACAATATTATAAAATAAAAATCGTAATTTATTATAAAAACTAATATTACATTTTATTGTTTTATTTTAATTATAACAAGTATATTTAGCTTGTTATTAATATTACTAAATGCTATATTTTAATATAATTTAATATTTACATTTATTTTATTATATATGATATGCTAATATTATTATTGTTTTTTGCAGTGACATTAAGGTGAGCAAATAAAAATAAAACTGTCAATGTTAATGTTTTCGTGAAACATTAATAAATGTAAATCGTCTCGTTCTTACAGGGATTCTGTATGGAACAATGACATTAGAGCTTGGCGGAAAAATCACCATTGAGTGTGAGAAAACACAATGTTACACAGAACTTGAATTCAAATTGAAGGTATTTTGGAAACCCAAACTGAATTAATGCAACTTAATAATTTTTTTTTAAATCATAATCTTACAACTGTTGTCTTTTTCTCTATTCCAGCCTTTTCTTGGCAGCTCTTGCAACGTTAACCAGATTTCTGGAAAGATCCGTATTGGCGAAGACGTTCTGGCCACAGTAGACGGGCACTGGGTACGAATAATTTCACATACTTACATAAATAAATATATATATTATATTATATATAATATTTTTTCTAAAGTAAAAAATTAAATAAAATATTTTTTAATTAAACATATTGTAAAATAAAACAAAATAAAAAATATGCGTTAAGTATTATGTATGTTTGACGTTTTTCATCAGTAGTTTACAGGAAGATAACCTAAACCTTCAAGTGTCTCTTCAAAGCTAAGAGAAGATAAGACAGAACTTTATTGATCCCTATGGGGGAAAGTGCACATGATCTCACAGACCTGTCTTTTCTGCAGGACAGTAAAGTGCACCTGACTGAGAAGAGGACGGGCCAGCAGGAGGTGCTGTGGAACCCCGGTCCAGACATACGCAGACAGCGGCTGAAGAGACAGGTGGTGCAGGTCGACCAGCAGGAGGCGTTCGAGTCTGAGAGGTGCACAAACCCAAAACACCAAACCAATAACCAAAAAGACAACAGGGAAAGAGAGTGCTGCAAAACAGATGAGCCATATGCAATTTGATTTGTGATTTACCATACATTTATTTTATATACGTGTTTTATTTACTTTTTTTATTTATCTAATTTTATATTAATAGAATTCTATAAAATATAATAGTTATGAATAATAAATTATAAAATAATATTTTTACATTTTGTAATTGTTTTATTTATTTTTAATACTATTTTCTATATTATATTAATATGAAATATTAAGTACTATATTTATGATTGATGCATTTCTTATTTTAATTGATTAAAAAAAGCTATTATCAGTGTTTTATTATTTTAATAGTTTTATTGTGTATTACATGTTACATTAATATTATTTTAAATTCATAATTATTAATTGTGTATGTGTGTGTGTGTGTGTGTTTAATTGACATATTTGTATAATTTTATTGATTTTAAATTCTAAAAAATATATTTTTAGGTAATGTTTATATATGTTGCGACACATCAGAAGGGTTTGGATCCATTTGCAGTTTATTAAGAATCGTCAGACAATACAGGGTCAAATACTGGCAAGGCAGAACAGTAGAGACAAGGCAGCGGCAGAATCGAGAACCAGGCGAGAGATCGGGGCAGGCGGCTAGAGAACAGAGTCCGGGTGAAACAATCCAAGTCGGGGCAGGCAGATAACAATCAGAGAAACAGGAAACAGTCCAAGATCAAAGCACAGAAAACAAAACACGGGTATAACGCTCGGAAATGACAGCCGGGGCAAATCAAGACTTCGCAAGGAGTTCGTGAAATGGTGTGGCTTATATGTGTGTGTGTAAATGAGATGCAGGTGGGATTGTGTAATCAGGCCCAGGTAAGAGGGATGATGGGAAATGGAGTCCGAATGGAAGATCGCTAATACTCTGGGGACAGTTCCCTCTGGTGGTGCGGAGGAGGTGGTACGGGAGCCTCCTCTGTAACAGAGCCCCCCCCCTGCGAACGGCTCCTGACGCGAGGAAGCAGGCGACGCCGGGGTCTTCCACGAGGTCGAGGGGCCGGTCTCTCCAGATGCATCCTGTGAAACTCCTCCGTGAGAGTGATAGGATCTGAGGAATCGAATCACTTCCTGATTCAGACGTTCGGTTTGCCCATTGGATTGAGGATGGTACCTGGATGTAAGGCTGATGTTGATGTTGAGGTGTTTGAAGAAGGCAGACCATACTTTGGACGTGAACTGAGGCCCTCGATCTGACACGATATCTTCGGGTAGGCCATAGAATCTGAACACCTGGTTACAGAGCAGTTCGGCGGTTTCGAAGGCTGTGGGGAGCTTGGGTAGGGGAATTAGGCGGCAGGCTTTGGAGAATCGGTCTATGATGGTGAGTATGGTGGTGTTACCTTGGGAATTGGGTAGGTCGGTGATGAAGTCGATGGCGATATGAGACCAAGGTCGTTGTGGTGTTGGCAGTGGTTGTAGCAGGCCGGCCGGGAGTTGTCTGGGTGATTTGGAAGTCTGACACGTGATACAGTCCTGGATGAATTTGGTGGTGTCGGTCAGCATAGTGGACCACCAGAATCGATTCTTGAGCAGGTGAACTGTGGCAGTGATTCCAGGATGGCCTGAGCTGGGTGTAACGTGTACCTGAGAGAGCAGTCACTGTCACTGGGGTTCCGGCACATAAGTGAGGTTGGCAGGGCATTCGGGAGGCGGTGGATCTTGGAGATTCATGTGCTCGATCTCAGTCATGATATCCCACTGTACAGGTGCCATGAGAAAGCTTCCAGGTAGAATAGTGTTGCTAGAGGTGGCTTGTACTGTTTCCTCGGTTTGGCGTGAGAGAGCGTCGGCCTTAGTGTTCTTGGAACCCGGTCTGTATGTGACGGTGAACCGAAATCTGGTGAAGAACAAAGCCCACCTGGCCTGTCTGGGGTTTAGCCGTCTAGCCGAACGCAGGTACTCCAAGTTCTTATGATCGGTTAGGACGGTAAATGGGCGAGTAGCCCCCTCCAGCCAGTGCCGCCATTCCTCGAGCGCTAGTTTCATGGCAAGAAGTTCACGATTCCCCACATCGTAGTTCCGTTCGGTGGCGCTCAATTTGCGGGAGAAGAAAGCACATGGGTACATCTTAGTGGGGGAACCATGACGCTGAGATAGTATAGCGCCTACCCCGGTATTAGAAGCATCAACCTCCACAATGAATGGGTGTTCTGGGTCTGGATGTCTGAGAATAGGGGCAGTAGTGAACCGAGTTTTTAATTTGTCGAAGGCCAGACGTGACTCTGGGGACCACTTCAGTCTGGATGTGTGACGTTTGGTCATGGTAGTCAGAGGGGCGGCGATCGAACTGAAACCCCTGATGAATCGCCTGTAGAAGTTTGCAAACCCCAGGAAACGTTGCAATTCCTTGACTGTCTGAGGTTGGGGCCACTCCAACACTGCCTTGACCTTCCTCTCGTCCATGGCTACCCCCTCCTGACTGATAATATACCCGAGGAACGAGGTGCTAGTTCGGTGAAACTCGCACTTCTCAGCTTTGGCGTAGAGTTGATACTTCATGAGGCGTTTCAGCACAGATCTAACCTGGTGGATGTGTTCCTCCAGAGTGTTGGAGTAAATCAGGATATCGTCGATGTATACGATTCCCCATCTGTCGAGCATGTCCCGGAAGATGTCATTCATGAACGACTGGAAAACTGAAGGACTGTTTGCCAGGCCGAACGGCATAACCAAATATTCATAGTGCCCACTAGTGGTGGAAAACGCTGTTTTCCATTCATCTCCTTCACGGATGCGAATTAAGTTGTAGGCGTTGCGCAGATCTAGTTTGGTGTAGTATTTGGCCTGGCGAAGCTGTTCTAATGCGGCTGGAACTAGGGGCAATGGGTATCGAAACTTAACGGTGATG